ATTTATCGTTAATCAATGCCATCGCTGGTCGAGGGTCCACTGTACATTATGTTTGGTAGCAGAGCAGGAGATGCGCAAATTAACATTAAGATCGACAACACTCTAATTGCCAGACATAATGAGGGCAAATTCCTGGCCTATACCTCAACAACAACCTGAATTTCAGCACCCATATCCAACACATAACCAAAAAAGTATCCAAAACGGTTGGGATCCTCTCCAAGATATGATACTACGTGCCGCAAACTGCCCTTCTCACACTAAACCATTCACTTATATATCCATAACTCACCTAAGCTATCTGTGCTTGGGGTTCAACTGCAGCAATACACCTAAAGCCAATAATAACCCAACGAAAAGCTGCAGTAAGAATAATCACTAAATCCCATCCATGGCAACACACCCCCCCACTCTTCATAGATCTAAACTTACTCCCTGTTCAGTACATCCACACTTACTACTGTGCAATCTACATCTACAGGACCTTAAATTCCAATATTAACCTTGACCTAAAATGCTTTCTTGATAGTTGTGACAGAACCCACAGGCATAACACCAGACACAAACATCTCTATGACATTCCCCGTGTCCGACTAAACCTTTACAAAAATTCAATGTATGTCAAAGGCCCTAAAATCTGGAACACCCTACCTGAAAATTCCAAAACTGCAGACACATTCATCACCTTCAAAACTACCATCAGAAAACATCTTATCTCCCTGATACACCCTGTCAACTAATTACACGAATACCACCTGGTGGTTCACACTTACACTCGCTCACCCATTTGACCATAAACAGAAATATCAATCTCAAACTTAAAATAATGAATCCTAACTAGTCATAAGTTGGCCTGTGATACTCCAATACTGAAACTATGTATTGTGCCAAAACAAAAGCATTCACATTGCTAAACTCACAAGCTAGTATTTAGTCACTTAGCCATAATACCAACTTACCTCATAATTTCGTAATATTTTAAACTTAAGATTTAATCTAAGTCTGCCCGAAATGCCTAGCCATGCTAGGTGTTCTAATGGTACACTCTGTAACTATTATTTTACTACATGTAAACCACACAATAACCAAATTCTGTAAACTCAGCATTGTAATCCTTATAGAGAATAAACTTTGAATTTGAATTTAACCATTACTTCAAACTTAAAGCAGTTTCAATTTCAGTATTGTAAACTGTGCTAAATTGCAATACTGTAGTTTTTTTATATACTTCATCTTAACTATAAACTCAATTACTGTAAACCAATAGCTACCCTTTCTTTTTTTTTTTTAACAAGTTGGCCGTCTCCCACCGAGGCAGGGTGACCCAAAAAGAAAGAAAATCCCCAAGAAGAAAATACTTTCATCATCATTCAACACTTTCACCTCACTCATACATAATCACTGTTTTTGCAGAGGTGCCCAGAACACAATAGTTTAGAAGCATATACGTATAAAGATACACAACATATCCTTCCAAACTGCCAATATCCCAAACCCCTCCTTTTAAGTGCAGGCATTGTACTTCCCATTTCCAGTACTCAAGTCCGGCTATATAAAAAGAACTGGTTTCCCTGAATCCCTTCACTAAATATTACCCTGCTCACACTCCAACAGCTCGTCAGGTCTCAAACACCATTCGTCTTCATTCACTCCTATCTAACACACTCATACATGCTTGCTGGAAGTCCAAGCCCCTCGCCCACAAAACCTCCTTTACTGAGTTCCTCTGTTGTAACAAGAAAAATGATGTATAATTAAAATTTGCTACTCTCACTATCTCTAGTATTACACAGCCTGTAAGCATTAGGTTTTGTCTGCCTGAAATGCCCTGGCATGATAAGTGGCTTTCTTTGTACTTAACAAATCAAAATTGTAATTACACATTGTAAACAATGCAAAGAAATAAAATCTTTATGTTTAGGCTTGTGTAAGCATGATAGATATGAGCTAATGAAAATAAGTGGTTTTTAATGGGCATGCTGTTAAAATATGAGGAAGGTAACTCTTATTAACCCTTTCAGAGTCCATGCTGTAGATCTACAGATTTACGTTCAGGGCCAAACCGTAGATCTACGCCATGAGCTCAGTTCACTCTGATAAGCTGTGAGTGGTAAACTTGGGCCTAGATATGAGAGAATGCATCTATGTGGTATGTGTGCACCACATAAAACAAATCCTGCAGCACACAGTGCATAATGAGAGAAAAAAAAATGAGACTAATTTTTTATTAAAACAGCAACTTTGCAGTGTTTTTCTGTATGTTTCTTATAGTTATATTTGCGATTTCTTGGTTTGATAGAATGGAAGATATATTACAGAAATAGAGATGATTCTGATTGGTTTTAGTACTGAAAATGGCTTGAAACTGAGCTCAAATTAGTAGAAATGTTAAATTTTTGCCAATGTTCAAGAGTAAACAAATGACCTCACACGTCTAATACACGCCCGCTGGTGGGTCTAATATACATTCACAAATGTGCTGATGTTATTTATACAATTATTACAATATTGCACGACAGCAAATCTTCTATTATTTGGTTTGAATAAAAATTCATTATGTGAATTAAAAATCAAAATGAAATTCACGTGTAAAGCCTGAAAACATAACTAATGAACAGAGGAAATGTTAGTTTAGTGCCAGGAATGCCTGTATTGTTTACTCTGGACCCTATTTTGAAATTGGAATATTTTGAACTTTGCACTAAGTTGGCCAAATTACCAATTTCCAATCAACTGGAATAAGGTAATTGGCCTAAAATGGGAGTCAAAGTCGGCAAAATTGACAATGCGTAAATATCGCTGACACATCAAAATTCGCGAGAGCATAATTTCGTCAATTTCCCATCAAATTTTGCACTTTTTGTTTTATTACCTTCAGAAAAAGATTCTCTACCATTTCATAAGAAAAAATAACAAAATTATTTTTTGAAAATTCTTGGACACTGGTGCACACTTTGAAATTTGGCCTCTGGACCCTGAAAGGGTTAAAGGATTCAGGGAAACCAGTTAGCCAGACTTAAGTCCTGGAGGTGGGAAAGGCAGTGTCATCTTTCTCAAGGAGGGGTGGAGACACTGTAGTTAGAAGGTCATCTGAAATGTTATGTCTGGACACTTCCCAAAAGAAGGCAATGTATGATGGCGAATGTGTTTTCTTGGAGTTTTTCTACATTGATAGGAGTTGATAAGAGTTAAAACAAAATGACAATACAATGATGATAACAAAACAATGAAAATGATCACAATGACAACAATGACAAAGACAACAGCAAAAACAAGAAACACAAAACAGCAACAACAAACATAACACCAAAACAATATACATGTATAACACAACACAACAAATAACATAAAAATCAAACACAACTAACCAAGACAACACAGTAAACAATAATAAACACAAAAATAACACATCAACAATAACAAAGAACATAACACAAAACAAAAACCACAACAAAGAGAACTGAGACAAAAACCATACCACGACAACAAAAAATGTAACAATTACAACCACAAAAACAGCCACAACCACTACAATAATAACCATAATGATAAAAACTTTTAGTGAGTTCTAGTCTTCTCTGAGGCACAAATAGGCATAAGTACCTACAAGAGCTAAATCAGATCTGCATACTTTCCTAGAACATATTTTGCCACTCACATAACTGGCATTTTTTGCCAATCTCATATAACTGGCAATGTGTAGTTTAAAATCACCATTATTTTTGACTTCCCTCATCATCACTGTTTTAATAAAATAAATACATATTTTTTCTGCGAAGAAAGTTATTTTCATAACTGCATTCAGACAGCTCTGTGAAAATCTTCACAGCAATTTCAATGAAATTCTTCAGTTGTCTTCACTGCAGCTTTCACCACTGCTACTGACATCACTATACTTAAGGATTATTCTTGACCCATTTCTCACTTCAGTTATCTAAGTAATCTATCTCACTGTTATGGTACCAGATGTGGTATTTGACTTTTATGTACTCCCACAACACCGGTACTGTTTCCCATGATGCAATGCATGAGCCAGTTTGTTTTTTTTCCAAGGAACCAAGTCACCCCTGACCCCAAGAAGTTGTGTGAGGGCCTAAAATGGGTGAATGAGGAAAATTTGAGTGCATTATGATTTTGGCATATTAATGGGTTGTACCCAGTCAGCCAGTAAGATGTATTAATGCATCAATCATAATTTAAGGTTTAATATATTTTTTGGTGGTGAAGTTTCCTTTCGAAACCTCATCAAATTTTCCCACGTTATTCGATTTGTATAATGTGTTACTACAAAACACACCATTTTGAGAGTTTACTGTATGCATGTTTAATTATTTGCAAACAACTTCTATACTATGATAATGATGTAAAATGAAAATGCTGTTTTACACTAGCTTTCAATTAACATACAGAACCTCATACAGTGAAGCACAGAAATTTTTTTGGTTAGCATTAAAGTAATTTTTTTTCCAACAAACTGGCCACATCCCACCAAGGCAGGGTGGCCCAAAAAGAAAAACGTAAGTTTCTCTTTTTAAATTTAGTAATTTATACAGGAGAAAGGGTTACTAGACCCTCGCTCCTGGCATTTTAGTCGCCTCTTACAACATGCATGGCTTACGGAGGAAGAATTCTGTTCCACTTCCCCATGGAGATAAGAAGAAATAAACAAGAACAAGAATCAGAAAGAAAATAGAAGAAAACCCAGAGGGGTGTGTATATATACGCTTGTACATGTATGTGTAGTGTGACCTAAGTGTAAGTAGAAGTAAATTTGACGTACCTGAAATCTTGCATGTTCATGAGACAGAAAAAAAGACACCAGCAATCCTACCATCATGTAAAACAATTACAGGCTTTCATTTTACACTCACTTGGCAGGACGGTAGTACCTCCCTGGGCGGCTGCTGTCTACCAACCTACTACCTAGGATTAAAGTAATTATCAATGAAAATATATTTTTGATTGTCATTATCTAATATAAAGACAGAATAAAAGCATACCTAAGGAGAAATTCTGCAAGAAATGCATAACCCTGAGAAGACCTGAAGTCATCAAGAAGGGTTTGGGAGACTTCAGAAGAATCCTTGAGGAAGCAAAACACTGTCACAAACATCTCCACGATTTCAAGTGGTGAAAGGTCTTGCCCTCGTTCCATGTTCTCTACACAAAGGCCTACACAGCCTTTATCTGAAAATCAATACCAATTAAAGATTTCTGTTATGTTAATACAATATATAAAAAAGAACATGTTAAAAATAAATTTCTCAACTTTAAAGTACAATTTAATGATTAAAATAAATAAAAAACCTATAACAAAATAGTTGGAAGAGGAAATTCTGCATGTGCTAACAGCTTAACCAAGTAATCACCAGTGCACAATATTCACATGTCTTCTATGATAATATTTTGACACAGGGTGTAATACCACAAGTTGTAAGAACTCTACCACCTTCTTAGGGGAGGAACAGCAAAAGGGGACACAAGCAGAATTCAGTGGTACTCCTAAACAAACTGTATTTCTATTAAATGGAGTACAGTATATTATACAACTAGGATGACTGATATAGATTGCTACTTGTTATGCAAAGCATTTCTGGCAGCCTTAAAACTAAATTATGCTTGCAAAGCATATGCGAATAAGAATACTTTCTTTCTTCTTTCAACACACTGGCCGTATCCCACAGAGGCAGGGTGGCCCAAAAGAAAAAAGGAAAGTTTCTCCTTTTACATTTAGTATTATATACACGAGAAGAGGTTACTAGCCCCTTGCTCCCGGCATTTTAGTCGCCTCCTACAACACGCATGGTTTACGGAGGAAGAATTCTGTTCCACTTCCCCATGGAGGTAAGAGAAAATAAATAAGAACAAGAACTAGTAAGAAAATAGAAGAAAACCCAGAGGGGTGTGTATATATATAAGAACATAAGAATGTAGGAACACTGCAGAAGGCCTACTGGCCCATACGAGGCAGGTCCTTATCAAAACGACATCTACCTAAAGCTACTCAAGAAATAACTCCCGTACCCCTTGACACCAATCAAACCCAGCCCCTCCCACTTGTTGGTGCTCCCTCCATGCTATTCTGACGTAGGCACTACATCACAAACGAACCGTCTACAGTGCCCTCCTGCTCTCATTAAGAGGTCGGTGTAGACAATAAAAACACACAATACCGTGACAGGAACAATGCACAAATGTCCCACACATACAAGAAACTTTATGACGACGTTTCGGTACGACTTGAACCATTAACTAGTCACACTAACACATGAAGGGAGCCAGTACATATACGAGGTCAGTGTAATTGAAATTGTAGAGGTGGAGAATATACAGAAAACCTTCACTGCAGGTATAAAATCAGTCAAGCGCCTACATTAATGGGAGTACTTGAAGTCTCTCTTTAGAACGCATGAGAGACAGATGCATCATAATTCAAACCTGCAAAAATGCTAAAGATATTTGCCCAGGATTTGCACACCAAACGAGCCTGGCCCATGGCCGGGCTCAGAGAGTAGATAAATTCTCGAAACTCTTCAAAGGTATATCAAAGGTATACACTGAGATCATTCCTTATGAAAGCAAAAGTTTCAGCAGACAACGCAGATGCCTCCAGGAATGCAATGTGTACACTAAGATTAACTCAATTAGTGTAAAGTGGCCTAGATTTTCTGACACCCGCCTCCCCATCACCGAGCTGTCTTCAAGAGGGAATCGGACAATTTCAAGTTTCTGATCAACCAGGCTGTGATGTACACGTTAAACTGCATGCTAGCTTTAAAAGCTTAACTGATCAGGCCATCAACTTGTTGCCTGGCCCAAGACAGGACCACGGGGGCAATGACCTCTCTGATATACCTTTGATCAGTTCCTCGAGGTTCTACTCCCCGAGCCTGGCTTGGGCCAGGCTCATCTGGTGCTTGCCTGATCACCCAGGCTGTTGCTGCTGACGGCCTGCTGGTCCACACATCCATCACAGCCTGGTTGATCTAGCACCTGGTTAAGATACTTGTCCAGTTTCCTCTCAAAGACTTTTACACTTGTCCCAGCGGTGTTTCTGAATCATCTGGCAAGATATTGAACAGCCTGGGACCACGGAACGGTCTACAGGTAAACTTCTGTGAAGACCTGTTTGTGTGCTCTCTGTGAATCTGAACCAGGATGCCCTCTCTTGAGCAACTTTACCAGCAGCTGAGAGAAGAGCTCAGAGTTGCTAAGATGGAGATACGGCGATTAACGGAGGAGAACAAGAGGATTCGTAGTAATCCTCCTGTTGTGAGTCCCCAGGTTAAGAAGGGAGCTTGGTCAGTGGCCAGGAAACATGGAACCAAGCTGAAGATCAAGAAAACGGTTGGAGAGGCAGAAACAACGAGAAACCAGAAGACTACCGTGGAAACTTCCAACCCATTCTCGGTGCTACCCGACGAATGTGAGTGTTCTACTGGGAATGCCACAACGAGCACCAAAGAATATATATGCTTGTACATGTATGTGTAGTGTGACCTAAGTGTAAGTAGAAGTAGCAAGACGTACCTGAAACCTTGCATGTTTATGAGACAGAAAAATGGACACCAGCAATCCTACCATCATGTAAAACAATTACAGGCTTTCGTTTTACACTCACTTGGCAGGACGGTAGTACCTCCCTGGGCGGTTGCTGTGAATAAGAATACATAGTTTTTAAAATATTAGTGGAGCATGTTAGATAGGAGTGGAGATGAACGGTTTTCGAGACTTGACGAGCTGTTGGAGCGTGAGCAGGGTAATATTTGGTGAAGGAATTCAGGGAAACCAGTTAGGTTAAGTCCTAGAGGTGCGAAGTACAATGCCTGCACTTTCAAGGAGGGGTTTGGAATACTTGCTGTTTAGAGTGACATCTAAACTGTCATATCTGCAGGCCTCTGCAAAGACAGTGATAGTGTGAATGATGGTGAAAGTGTTTCTTTTTTTTTGGGTCATCCTGCCTTGGTGCGAGACGACCAGTGTGTTAAAAATAAAAAAATATTAAAGATGAAGTTAGATACATGTGATGAAGGAATGACAGACAAGGACAGGGACAATAAAAGTTGAATAAATTGTTCAGCAAAATTAATTGTTGTTAGGATCACCTTAGGGAAAGGTGGTGTTTTTTAACCCTTTCAGGGTTGGCAGGCCCTCTCCTAAATTTGGTCTCAGGGTCGGAAATTTTTCGAAAAAAATAAAAAAATTCTTATGAAACGATAGAATCTTTTCCCGATCATAATGACACCAAAAGTATGAAATTTGATGGAAAACTTACGGAAATATGCTCTCGTGAAGTTAATGATCTCAACGATATTTACGCATTGGCGATTTCGCCCACTTTGAGCCCTATTTTCAGCCAATTCCAACATACCGGTCTACAAAAATCATAGCTATTTTGCTAGGACTTCATTTTCTCTATCGAATGAGTACAAGAAACCACCCATATACCGATTTCAACTATCCAATAAAGTGGTCAGAATTTGGCAATTTTGTCAATTTCACACAAATTTCAAAAGATGCCAATTTCCAAATAGGGTTCAGAATAAACAAGACACACATTTCTGGCACTAAAATAAAAAAAATTCTGTTCATTAGTCATGTTCCCAGGCCTCTCTTACATTTCTTTTGCTTTCTACTTTGAATTTTTATTCTCACAAAAAATAGAAGATTTACTGTTATGCAGACAACTGCATTAGTGTAGAAATGGTATAAATAATATCAGCACACTTGTGAAAGAATATTAGACTCACCAGTTGACGTGTATTGGACGCTTGGTTTGATTTGTTTACTTTTGAACTTTGGCAATAATCGAACATTTCTGCTACTTTGAGCTCAATTTCAAGGTACTTTTCATTGTGAAACCAATCAAAATCATCTCAATTTCTGTAATATGTCTTTCATTCTATAAAATGAGACCAGGAAAACTAGAATACAACCATAAATAGCATACGAAAATACACTGCAAAGTCGCTGTTTTAATCCAAAAACACGGTCGGAGTTTTTTCTTTCCTCATTACGCACTGTGTGCTGCAGGATTTTTTTTTATACTGTGCACACTGACCACATAGACCCATTCTTTCATATGTAGGCCTACCGCTTTCTCTCACTAGATTTGAAGGCGCTAGAATTTATGCGTGCTAGTATGGCACCAACCCTGGCGTGCAAGTCATACTAGTAGAGCACCAACCCTGAAAGGGTTAACAGTAGCTTTGAAGTGGCTGGCAGACAGAGAGAGAGAGTATGAAGTTTTCAAGTAGAGTGTTCCAGAATTTTGGTCCTTTTATGCATACTGAGTTTTTGCAGAAATTAAGTTGGACATAGGGAATATCAGAGATTTTTCTGTCTAGTATTATGCCTAGCAGTTCTGTTGCATCTATCAAGGAAGAATTTCAGGGCAGGATTTTTTTTTTTTTTCTTCGCCGGTATTCTCCCGGCCCGGGTCTTTTCCAAGTTGTGGTGACCCGGCCTTGGCTCCCTATCTGGGGAGTGTCTCGAGACTTAAGTCTCCCATGGGAGGAGGTACAAGTACCTCCTCATCTTTGGGACCAAGTGTCCCCAGGCCTAGCCACATTCCCCGCCCTCATGGGGCTCGTAGGGAGAAGCTAGGCCTCTGGTCTGCCATCTACCCCGCCTCAAAGGGGCTCGTGGGGATGGCAGTCTTATGAGCTGCAGATGGTAGCAAGCTCAGGCCTCTCTAGGGCAGGATTGACACTGGAGTTTATATGTAATATACCTAGAGTATACCTGGAGAAGGTTTCAGGGATCAACGCCCCTGTGGCCCGGTCTGTGACCAGGCCTCATAGTGAATCAAGAGCTGAGTATGCACAGTAGTATGAGTGAATTTACTGCTCACAGCTTACCTGAGTGAGCTGAGCTCATGGTGGCCAACCTGCACTTCACAGCCGTTGTACAAAGGGACCCACCCCAAAAGGGTTAAATCTCAGTGGTTACAAAATTAACCCGTAAACGGTCCGTCCAAACGTATATATAAGTTTTTACTGCTAGTGCCCCAAAAGTATATATATGTTTTATTTTTCCTGCCTTCAAATTTGGCACGATTGGCCTGAGATGCCTTGTCAGCATAGAATGGGTTCTAACACTCAGTGTGTGTGCAGTATTAAAAAATCTGGGACCACTTAGTACCTTGTGGGAGCACCAGTTCAAATGAGCGCCAGCTAGAGCAAC